TATACCAATAATATTCAAGAATTTTTCAACAGTTACAAAGCTGCTTTTCATGATGAACACAGCCATTGACATCACTATGATCTTTTGATAATTTCGTATAGTCCATCCACAAAGAGAACAATTACGAGTCCAATGAATTTTAGTCCAGTTTGTGCAAACTGATCATCCATTTTACCTCTTCCACATTACTAATACAAACAAGTACGAAGGATGCATTGAGTTCAAGTTCCTCTTATCACAGCGTATATGTGATTACAAGTTTCACAAGCATCATTTCATGGACCACCGTAGATAGACTATAGTGACATCACAACTTGCTTATGAACTTATTGTGTGTCTATTATGACATTACTGGCCTAGTTTCCACCGATGGTTTAAACCATTTCAGAATGTAAGAACCAATCAATTAAAGTCGAGCATTCCCCTGTCGATTGACTGTAACAAGGGACTGTAATTAATTGGTTCTTACATTCTAATCCGGTTTAAACCCTTGGTGGAAAGTAGATCACTGTGAAGTTCTTTTGCTATGGAAGAGGGGATGCTTATGTACAAAAAAATTGACATTTGAATTTCTCTACTTTATCATTTTTCATTCATACATCCAGCAATTCTAAAATAATCATCAAAAGTTTTATGAAATCGCTAAATTAATAGATGCATTTATGAGATATTAGAGTCAATGATAGTAATGTTTGCAAAACGTATATTCGTGTGATAACATTTATGGTCAATTGAAGAATGGAACATTTAATATGGATCTCACATTTACTTTAATAAACATCCCTATTATTCAAGATAGTCGGAACATGAAGCACGTCGTGAACATCGCATGCGGCAATAAACATTCCATCATTCTAATCAAGAATGATGAAGTAAATAAACATCGTTGTATGACACGTCATATCTCTCTGTTATCATATAAGTTAAATAATTGATTTGATTAAGATGCCTGGGAATTAAATAATAGTGAACAGGCGGGTAACAGTACCTATAGACTTCCTATAACACCTAAGCTTATTTTGTCTAATGTTGGTTGTATCTCCTGCGGCGATAACTTCATCATGGCTGTCACTAGAAATGGCAAGGTATATGATTCGGGCAATAACGACGTGGCTAATTAGGGATAGGCAACTATAAGAGTAAAAATATGCTACAACAGATTAGTAATATGCAGAGAAACAATACATTTTTCAGTAGCCAGATGGCGACAGTTAGCCAAGCTGGGGGAGCCAGCAATTTTGAGAATAAAAATATGACATCGCAGTTGGTTGGTATACCGGAAAGCCTTATTGTAGGTAATTCTCTTGTCGATAAAGTAAATGAAGAAGAAAGTAACAAAGCAAAAAGGATCATTGAGCAGTATTGTTACAAACAAGATAACTTGCGGATTATATCACACGCTGGTACTCATAGACAAAGGGACCATCTACGCCTGAAAACAAATTCAGCTAGTTAGTGATCGGCAACCAGACGGAGTTCTATATACCAACCATAGTAGACTTATGTTTATCGTTATCTTGAAGGAAATAGAACAAAAAAAGGAAAGATAAAGCAAAGGTATGATCAGTAATTATACCAACCACATCAGTCAAATGGAAAAAATGAGATGGGTCGACAATTGCGGCTCTGAACAATACTTCTATGTTTGGGATGATTGCCGCGGTGAGTGCATCTCGACCTTAATCGCCACTTCATCCTTCAATGTACACGACATCTTTGGGCACTATGGGCCGAGCATTATGCACAAACCGTTGATTCTGAACGAAAAGCCGGACATATTAGTAATAGAGTTTGTTTCAGATTTTAATTTCTAGATTTTAGATAAATATGACAATTATTTTATGTATCATACTAATATGATATACATTTGTTTCTAATGACTTGTTCTCTCGTTTGTAATATAGTTAACAAGCGGTCTCAAAATACAAGTGGAGGACAAATGTATCTATGTGCACAAGGTCTTGATAATTTGCTCTTCACGCCTCAGAGCGATGTTTGCGTGTGATTGGGCAGAAAACAATCCAAGATAATAGCTTAATAAATATCA